CAGAATGGATAAATCTGGTGGTTATCGAGATGATCGAGAAAATCATGTTCTATTGATAACTGTCATAAATCCAGCTTTCCCCATAACATGTGTAAGTTATTTGTATTTTAATTTATTACTGTTAAAGCAATCAGCCAAGATTTCTAGTGATTTTTTGTCTAATTTTCTGATTTTTATTCCACCTTTTTTCAGGAAATTATTCATAAAGTATGCGATCCCATCGGAAAAGTATTGAGGGTTGTTATATTTAAAAAGAATGGTGTCCAAGCAATGGTTGAATTTGACACTATTGAATCTGCCAAAAAAGTCAAAAGTGAACTTCATGGGTGTGATATTTATACTGGATGTTGCACTTTAAGGATTGAATATGCTAAGGTATGTTTTTCTTGTCATTGAGTTGTTTATAAGTTTATTAACTGATTTTTTTGAATTTCTTCAACAGCCTACAAGATTGAATGTTTATAAAAATGACAGTGAAAGTTTCGATTTCACCAAACCTAACATGGCCAGATAAAATCTCAAATAACCATCAGCTGTTCCTACCGAGCCATTGTAAATTGAATTGAAAGTTGAGTCGATGCTGAGTTTTCATCCTCACTACTGCCCTCCTTCATCTTTCAGCCCTGTGACAAACATTTAAGCAACAAAAGAGATAGTTTTCGTGGAGATGGTTTCATTATGGCCTAGGTATTGGCTTAGCCAGTGTAGCAGCTGATTCTGCAAGTTTTGGTAAAGGAGAAGGTAGTTCGATTGGAACAAGACAAATGGAAACTTCAAATCATCAATTGAGTAATCCGTCTCATTCATCAACTGCCAATGATTCGACTGCCAATAATTAAAGGGAAAGATTCAATTTCACCAAAATGGCCAGATAAAATCTTGACTAACCATCAGTTGCTCCAATGGAGCCATTGTAAATTGAATTATAAGTTGAGTCGACGCTGAGATGAATTATTGATCACTTTTAGAAAGGCTGAGAGACCAAGATAAAGAAACATTTTGTTTCCATTCCAATGCTATTTTGGTCTAGAAAATTGTTTTTCGTGTCAGATCTTATTTTTTGACTTGGTGTTGAAAAAGCAACATGAAAACTATAAACTTTAATTGTAACAATCGTTGATACCATCAATCAATTTGACTAGTGTTGCCATTACATCAGTTTGTTCCTGCTTATCCTAGAGGTCCAACTCCTTCCCTCTTCATCTTTCATCCACTATTTTCATAATACACCTTGTTAAAATGCTTGTCACATAGTCTACTAATTAAATGATTCATTAAACAGTCAACTTTTATAAAGCAACACTTTCAATTAGAAACATCATTAATTGTTATTTTTATGGTTTTACCGCATTCCACAACTTTCCTGTTCATTTAACAATGCTGAATGTTCCATTGTCTACCAATTATTCAACTTTAAATCGGAAATTGAGAAAAGAAATGCCAAGGATTTAAAAATTTAATTTGCGTCACTGATAAAGCACAAAGATGAATGGTTTTCTATTATTTTTAGCAACAATAATAGGAATACTTTATCCTGTTGATTTAACTTCAAAATGGTATCCTCGTCCACCATCAAGGCAGGGTCGACCTGTCCTTTATAAATTGGATGACCCAAACATAATTAACCTTGATTCTGAAAATTTCGAGACCTTTGTCACCAATCCGAATCGTGATTATATATTGTTGGTACAATTTTACATTGACTGGAGTGAAGGATCTCGCAGTGTGGTCCAAGCTTATTCCGATTTGGCTAGAAATATTTCAACTTGGGAAAACATTGTTCGAGTAGGTGCCATCAACTGTGCCGAAGAGAACAATATAGATGTTTGTCGTGAATATGGATGGGTTGCTTATCCAGTGTTTAAACTGTTCCCTCCGGGTAATATAATGGCAACACCAGAACCGTCTATAAAGCTCATTGAATACAATACGGTTGGCAAAAAGATGTATAAATTTAGAAATGTCATTTTAGAGTATATCGACCAATTAATTACAAATCACACGAATTATCCAACCTCTTGGCCTGTTTTTGATTCATTGCAAGTTGATTCACTCAAAGACTTGGAAACTCATTTTCAAAATCAAACAAAAGATTCGACCATCTTGCTGTTAATTGATCGTGATAACAGGGATCTCAATCGTATGGTAAAGATACATTTCTGATTTTATTTCATCAAAAATATCACCAAAATTAATGATCATTATTGTATGTTTATTTTTGTAGGTTTTACTGGACATGAGCGTTTACCAGGCCAATCTTATCATCCGAAGAACCCAATTGTCTCAACAATTATATGAACAATTGAAGAAAAATTCATCCGGTGAACCAATTTTCCTTTTCATGTCGATAGGGAAACACGGAAAGTCTTTCTTAAAATTAATTAGGTTTGTTTGATAATTGAACATAAATATTGTGTGAAATTGACATTTAAATGCATTACTATTGTTATTTTTGGAGGCTAAAGCTCGTTAATTTTCATATTTAACAGATTATCTTTCAATCTTTTACTAACATATCATCAGCATATTTAACCAATTAATCTGAATGATTAATATATACTTGAAGATAACGTTTAGGATACATTAATATTACATTTTTACATCTATTATTACAAGCTTACGAACATGAATTGGTCACAGTCGAGTAAATACCATGAATACATTAATGAGGTGATTGGACTAACCAGTAGATCCAAGAATGCAATAATTTTTATTGATTACCTATTATTTGATAAGTGATGAACTAGACAAAAATGGGTGAAATGATTGCCAAAGTTACTAATATTTTATCTTCTTATTATGTCAAAATTTACAGTTCCGATGAAATTGGTGGTAACAATAGGGAATCCATAACAAAATACATTGAAACTCATTTTGCAACAAACATCAGAAACAAAAGGATGGATCCAATTTACATGAGTGATCTTTACAAAGGCTTGAGACATTCACTTTACAATGAAGTTACCCTCCATAAAAAGCTCAATGGAAGTCAGATAGCTGCTTTAGCTGCCTACATATCGGTCATTTATCGTTACTTTCCGTTTGACAATGAAAACCCAAGAAGATTTTTCAAACGTATGGACCAATGGATGAGAATCCGAAAACCAGATAAAATTTTGGACTCTATTGATTTACTTGCAATAATGAGGGTTGGCAGTGAAGGATTTATACCACAAACGGATCATTATCATCACTGCAAATCTGGATATCCATGTTCCTTGTGGCTTATTTTTCATGCACTAACAGTTTCAGAATACATAAAGAATAATAGATATAAAATGGAGACCATAGGACTTGATAAAAGTAATAGTATTAATAGTTTTAAAAGTAAAGCACAAGCAATCGAAACATCTTCCTCGTCATCAGTATTATTGGAAACAACAATATCACTGGATCAGGATGAAAAGGAACGCTTGGCTCATCGGAAAAAATATCCAGTTCTTTTTGCGATGCGTGATTATGTTAGACATTTTTACAGTTGTGCTGAATGTTCATCTCATTTTACAACTTTATCTAACGATTTTGAGCAAAGACTAATATATCCCAATTCATCTGTCTTGACCCTTTGGGAAGTACATAATAATATCAGTCAAAGATTGTCTCGAGAAAATCCGGATCACCCACGGTCTCTCTGGCCAAGTCGCAATACCTGTCCAAGATGCTTCACACCGGCTGATAATTGGGTTGTTCCTGAAGTCTTCAATTTTCTTCTCTTTCATTATAGCAAAGATCATATGGTCGCATTGAGAAATTCTGTCCCTCCTTTGTGCTCAATTCCATCATCAGTCTTCCTTTTCATCTTAATTATGATCATTTCAATCTATTAACTTCGGTTAACAATATCGGTGTAAAAATATTACTTATCTCTTCCATCTTTAGATATTGAAAAATTCAATAGAAACAAATGCGAAAGCAAAAATCTGAATCCGAACACAATATTTAGAGTGTTCAACTATCTAGCACAATTTCAAAAATAGATTAACGAACAAATTGTAAGCTGTAATCCCAATGTATCCAAAGTAACCTATTTCATAAATGTTCAATGATAATTTATGATAAATTAGTAATATTGTGACCAAAAAGCAAATTCAACCAAAGAAATTCACAATTGCCAAATTTAAGTATGTAACTAATAATTTAATAAACTAATATTATGCTTGATGCATTTATAAAGCCAGAAATGTCTAATTTTGAACTTTCCCATGAAGCAATGTAAATATTACCCATCGCAGCATTTCCCTCTGAAATTATCTAAATTAAAAAAATTGATTCATTCAAAACTGGACATTTATTGGTGATATTTTATCTACGAAAATAAAGATTTTTCATAAAATCAAGGAAATATACAAGTACAGTATATGTATAGATAGCTGTAGCACAGCAAATAAAAAATTTCATCTTCTTTCAATGCTGTTTTCATGATCAAACTCCTTATTGAGATAAAGTCGGAGAGCTTAAAGATCCGAAATTTCTATCAAATCTTTATTGAATAAATTATCGTAGATTAAAGCTGTTAACGATTATCTTCTCAAGTAACTATTCTTTCTCTCCTATGGAATTGTTAGAATTTAGTAATGAAAAATCAAGTGATCAAATTTTCATTGCAAGATCGTTAATTGATCAGCTAATTGATTTAAAATGTAGTTAAAAAAATTCCTAAACCGAATGCAATAGATGAATGATCATGGATGAATCTATTATCCAATTTCTAATTACAGGTCCAATGAAATAAAATATAATTATTAACACTTTTTTCCAATTAAACAAAGATTCAACTTTAAATCGGAAATTGAGGAAATAAATAATAAGTATTTAAAAATCTTATTTGCGTCATTGATTGTGCACAAAGACCAAGCTAAATGATTTATCATGACTGCCAGTAACTTTAATAGAAATACTCTACATATTGTTTTACTACTATTAATTAACGTAGGGCAAAGGTGTGAAAGAATATCTTCACAATTAATTAGTCATTCTCTCTCATAAAATTATAGAAACTTAGCTTCGTTTTGAATGATGCATTATAAGCTTGAAATGTGTGGAATCTCAAAAACTTGAAACTTAATTCGATCTATAAACTAACCCTTAGCAGTTGCGATAAAATGTAAGAAAAAGTCTGTATTTTAAGTTTATCCATCTAATCACAAGAATTATTTTTAAAATTGGCGGTAAAATTCGTAACCGGTTATTTGTAATTTGGTTTGAAAGAATCAGTTACTGAATATAATTAAAAACTATCGCGCAACCAACGTACCTTTACGTCCAACTCTAGAGATTAACGATATTTGAAAAATACATCGTTGAAAAGATTGGTATCAACTATGAAACTATTGAGTATTTAGCGAATCGATTAAAGCATAATTTTGTGCAGTGAATTACTCTAAAAATAACTGAAAGCTAAATTCTGTAACTCTTTGCTTGCTAATCTCATGTCTCTTTTTGTATCGAGTATTTATTTAAAGTATCGAGTATTATCGACAAGTAAAGTATCGATACTTTTACGCAGAAAACTCCAGTTTACTGACTTTGGTTGTTTCTATTTCGTGATCCATAATGGCTAATATTGCTACGCAAAGGATCCAACGTGAATTAAATGAGGTAGCCAAGTTTGACGAAGCTCAAAAGAAAGCCATATCCATTGAAATCGTTAATGGCAGTCTACTGGAGTTCATAGGAAAGATTGCAGGTAATTTAAATTGATATTTACTTTGGTTTCTCTTGTTAAACATTGCTTGTTACCACGTTGATTATCATAACGTAACATGCATGTAATAGATTATAATTGCTGCTAAACCAACCCCATTACCAAGAGTCCTTCTTATCTTAATCATTGATTTTATTGCTTATTCAGATGAATTAGAGTTGCATCGCAAAGATGACCCTTGATCTCGAGAATAGGTTTATCTCATTGAGATATATTGTTACATATTCAACATTTGCGCCATTCAATCAGATTTCATTTCTTACCTGAATATCGCGTATTTCTTGATGACTTTTTTACGCTTTTGTAACATTATCTTTATTACTCATTTACAGGACCTCCAGATACTCCATATGAAGGAGGTATTTTCAATTTGGAAATCAAAATACCACCATCTTACCCTTTTAATCCTCCTAAGATGAGATTCATAACTAAGATTTGGCACCCAAATATCTCTTCAGTCACCGGTGCAATATGTTTGGATATCCTGAAAGACCAATGGGCTGCTGCAATGACCATCAGAACTGTTTTACTTAGTTTACAGGCATTACTAGCCGCAGCAGAGCCAGATGATCCTCAGGATGCCGTCGTTGCTAGACAATATAAGGAAGATCATGAACTGTTTGTACAAACGGCAAAACACTGGACTTTAGTTTATGCTCGACCTGATAGTGATAAAGAAAAATGGTCCAATCTAGATTTTGACGCTAAAATAGCTAAACTTCGTGAAGTTATGGGATGTGATGAACATCAAGCTCGTGTAGCCTTATCGTCAAATAATTGGGACCTTGATAGAGCTACACAATCAATGCTCTAACTTAGAAGTCCAGAAATTGAAAAGAGCGCCAAGGATAAAAAAGACTGCAAACAAGATCCGAAACATCTTGTGAAAAACGTTTTATCTACAAATGAAAGTTTTATTGATTGTAAATTACTCGAACAATCAATTTTTTCCAATTTAATTCTGAATGTAATTCCAATGTAATTATGTACGTTAATAGTATTTCCAATAACAGTGATTTTAAAAGTGCAATCCATAGTGACAATTATGTTTAGAGTGGATTATCTGATTGTTATAAACAGCTGATCATGTAAATATCCAGTTTTAAGCTCAATATTTTATTTTATTTCCTCACTTGCATAATAATCGGATTATAATGCCATACTAACTGGAAGAGAGAAGCAGAGAACACCATGAAAACCGAAACTCATTCATAACAATTAATCACCAGTTGTTTCCAAAGATTAATGTTTCCATTTATTGAAACCCATTTTGCAACATTTATCAGAAACAAAAGGACGGATCCAATTTACATGAGTGATCTTTACAAAGACTTAAGACATTCACTTTACAGTGACATGAGCCTCATTCCGTAAAGTCTCAATAAAAAGTCAGATAGCTGCTTTAGCTGCCTAGTTCGGTCACTTATCGTTACTTTCAGTTTGACAATGAACCCCATTGATTTATACCACAAACGGATCATTATCATCACTGCAAATCTGGATATCCATGTTCCTTGTGGCTTATTTTTCATGCACTAACAGTTTCAGAATACATAAAGAATAATAGGAATAAAATGGAGACCATAGGAATTGATAAAAGTAATAGTATTAATAGTTTTAAAAGTAAAGCACAAGCAATCGAAACATCTTCCTCGTCATCAGTATTATTGGAAACAACAATATCACTAGATCAGGATGAAAAGGAACGCTTGGCTCATCGGAAAAAATATCCAGTTCTTTTTGCGATGCGTGATTATGTTAGACATTTTTACAGTTGTGCTGAATGTTCATCTCATTTTACAACTTTATCTAACGATTTTGAGCAAAGACTAATATTCCCTAATTCATCATTGTATGCATAATGTGATATTAAGAGTCAATAAGCTTGACAGATGCGCATATTTCATCGCATAATTAAATCAAGAGATTATCAAACTGTAAATTTTACTCGAGCTATTCTCCATAGTCTGCCAGCTTATTTCAATCGATAATGAAGGGTTAACATTTAATGATGAGCTTAGGTCTAATACGTCTGTATACCAATTTATCTGACAAACTATTGTGAGCTAAATAAATTCAAGCAGACTTTCATTAGCGCGAAAAACTGGACCCATCTTTGATCAATATAATTGTATCAGAATTAATTGTTCGTTCAGATTTTATGTCATTTCAGCGTAACGTAATTTTAATCATAGACCTCGTTTTATGTTTCGTAATCATAGAACCATATGATTAAAATTTCTGATGTTTAGCTATGCTAAGCTTATCGAGCGTCGTTCAATATTATTTAATAATCTTGATACATGAAATTTATTGACTATAGATTGGTGATTGGAAACTTGCAAAGCGCGCATGAATCAACAAGTTACCTGCAGCATTTATCAGTAAGCAAGGCAATTATTATGCAACCCATACTCACTGAAGAGAGAAGAAGAAGGGAATATCAAGCTGACACTCATTCTGGTTAATCAACAGTTGTTTCGTTATTATAACCATAACAATAATCATCAAAACTGTGTAAATTTAAATTGTATTCACTACATAAATTTCTAAGCCTGAATCATCAAGTAAGTCTATAAATTTACCTTGTCTACCTGTCTCTTTTTTACGCACAAAAACATCAGTTCCTTTACTAATCCACCTTTCTTCATTCCAACAGTTTCTTCATCCTGTGAAGCTCCTTATCTCTGTTGGCAAGAACATTACAATAACATCTATTGGTAAGTAAATTATTCCACAATAATTTATAGAATTTAGTTCGAGAACAGTCGTTGGAACAGTTATTAAAATCTGATTGATTAGACTTACTCTGTTGTCAGGCTTATATTTACATAATAGACTTCAATAACACGAAGATTTTTATTTGTTAATGGTAATTTTGACTTTCATTTTAAAGAATATATTGATCACATATTGTTTGTTGAAACAACATTTTATTTTGATTACCTTATTAAAAGATGTCTATTGTCTACGTTTAGCTTGATCATTCTTATTTATTTGTGAAAGATAATTGACCATGGAGATAAGTCAAGAGTCAGATCTTCTGTTAGCATGATAATCGTTTTGATGAAACAGTCGATACTTTTACTGCATGGGAGTGATAAATATTTACAAATTCAGAATTGTGTCCTAGTGACTAGATCGTTCCTAATGGACTAACCCATAGTCAAAGAAATGCTGTTTAGTTTAAGAATTGTCGTTCTTCGTTAGATGATCATTAATTTGTGCAATATTTTCATTGATTCGACATTTCACTCTCCACGAGCTTTAAACATCATTCTCTTTAAGAACTGGGGATTCCCTCAGAGAGACATTTTGTTTCATGTTGTCGATGGTTGACCTATTCCTCCTCATCGGGAAAAGATTGTCCATCCATATCTTGAGACGATTAAGCACTGTCTGATGATTACAGACTGAGTTTCACTCAGTGAAAGCTGAGTAACCAGAAACGTATCGGATCCTGGATTCGATATTCATATATCAAGTTGTTTGTATTAATAATAATGCATAAAAAAGATATAATTATCATTGAATTAATTAATTAATTAAAGCAAAATTGCTTGGAAAAGGCTAAAGAGATTAAAGAGCAAGAAATTTCTGGTTAAATACAATGTCTTGACAGGCAGACATCTTACTACGTTTCTAGAAGATTGTTGATCCAAGTAATCAAGCAACAGACTTTACGAGCGGTTTTTTCAAAAACCATCCTGTCTAATATGTTTCACACCGGCTGATAAATGGGTTGTTCCTGAAGTCTTCAATTTTCTTCTCTTTCATTGCAACAAAGAACATATAGTTAAGAAATTCCGTCGCTTCCTTTATGCTCAATTTCATCATCAGTCTTCCTTTTCACCTTAATTATGGTTATTTCAATTTGTTAACTTCATATCGGTGTAAAAACTGTTGTTGAAACATACACGTTTGGTAACTTAATATTTTAGCATAAACTTGAACTTCATGAGAGTAGTTTCAAGGTAATTTGCATATTGATAAATCTTTATATTTATTGAAAGAAAGCGTCTTCTGGTAAATATTAAGTCCACTAAAGTCACCAAAGTGATTGATTCTTTGAGGTAAAATCCAATATCTAGATTCAGAGATGCAAAAGGATGGAGATGATTAACATGTTAGATGAGAAAAATATAAAATGAACAAAGAAGATTAAAGAGTAAGAGTTGATTAAAGTACCTTAATCTTTGGTTGAGTCCAACAAACGTTCATCTTTTGACTTGCCCTTATAAGAAGTTAAATTCAAATTCAATTTCTTTAATTATAAACTGTCTTCGGTAAGGTTTTACTTTTACGGAGAAAGGCGTTACAAAATGAACATATGATTTTTTGGTTAGGTAAGTTAGATCAAGGGGCTGTTGGTTGGTCGGTCAGGTTAGGTTAGGTTCGGTTAGGTTAGGTTTGGTAAGGTTGGGGTGGGCTTAGGTCGGCCTGGGGCCTTAATTAGCTTCATTTAATTCAATTGTTCATAAAGAGCGCTTTTAAAAGACGTCTACCATTGGATGATTTTTAAAGTTCACGCCTTTCTCCGTAAAAGTAAAACCTTACCCTGTCTTCCTTTTGAAAAATGTTAGTCAAAAAACTGGTGAAATCAGTTAACAATGATAATGAGCCTAAAAATGGCCTATCAAGGAAGATTGAAAATCTTGAAATAACCTTTATGACAAATGGTAGAGACAGAGAGAGTGATAACCATAGCGATACTGAATTAAGTATATGTTTATAATTTATTTACATGGTGGACATGAGATATATTTATGTTGTTAGTTGTCTGAATTTAGGTTTGTATTAGGACAATTGGTAATAAACAAACAGGAACATCAGGACAATTGATTCAATGTTTCCTAAAATAAGTTTGATTGCAAAATATTTCGAGTGTTGAAATATTTATCACAGGTTTACGTAGTTGTACAACCATGATGAAAAGGTGCATTGCAACATTAGTTGTCTTCAATTATGCAACCCATGCTCACTAGATAGAGGGAGATTCGCCACCATTTTTTGTAACTTTAATGCTATTATATCTTGAAAACAGCTTAGTTTCAAATGTTATTTAATTCAGCAACGCTAAACATCAATTAAATTTATGTCTTTTTGTTTTTGTTTATGTGCTAGTTAAATATAAATTAGTGTAAATGTGTCATTAAGTGTTTGTAAAAAACAGTACTTACAACCACTTTAAACATCTACTCGGTTTACCTCCATTTCGTGAACTCTCAATCTCAGCATTAATTTACATTAGTTGAATGGTTCTGACTGGCCATTGAATTAAAGGTAAGATTAATTAAGCCTTTACTATGCTTGTTTACATTTATTAAAGCTTTGCTTTTATTTTATAGACGATAACTGGGCAGAACGATTTAGATGATATTTGCCTCTAATGGTTTTCAAACAGTTAAAAATATATTGTTTAAGATCTGTCGTTTTTAGTTGCTCTCTAAGTTTAATCTTTCCATTGGTTCGATTCGGTTTTCATTAGCTTCAAACCTCATTCTATCAAGCTTCATGAGATTAGAGTAAATTTTGTATATTGCATATGAATCCATCCATCTAGGTACACATTCGGTAAAAGATATCGATCTTGAGACGATTCACCTCTTTCTTCCTCTTCGGATTTTTTATCACTTTATGATCTAAGAATGACTGATGTTATGCTTCATGTCCTAGAAAATGGTTTATTTAAACGCATCCATGCAAGGTTAATCCATTCTTACAGGTATATAATCGAGAAGGGGTTGTGAAGGTCTTATTTCTTGAGACGATTTAGACGACTTTCTAATCTATGATTGAATGAAAGCTGAATAACCAGAAATGGGATCTGATCCTGGATTCGATATTCATGTATCGAACATGAAAAGGTTTAGTTTGAACATCATTGAGTCGATTAATTTATTAAAGTAAAACTATATGAAAATCCTTATCGAATGAGCTGACAGAAAAGGTTAACTTGTTATAACATTCCGATTCACAGACATTTTACTACTTGTCAGAGAAGATAATTGATTTGAAATTTCCATTGGAAATTTTCCACCATGTGATTCATGTAATCAAGCAACTGATTTTACGAGCGGTTTCTTTAAAATTCAATCTTATAATTTAACCATTCCATCAAAAGCCTTAAGCTGATTCTCAAATCAACTCTATTAGAATTCGTGATTTCAAATCCTGAATTACAATCTAATGTTTCATTATAATTTTGCCCTGCCTCATTGGATTTGACACGCACCGTTAGCAGAAATGCGTTTTTTGGTAGACTATAACCTATTTTTTGTCCCCAGTATCTCTTTTTCAAATCATTAGGTTATTTAAGATTAAAACAATTGGCAATTTAGCGTTATACTCTTTCCAATTTACCTGCTTTCAATTTTTTGCGATTGTTTTTCTTTCGTTTCTGTCATAGCTTCAAGTTCAAAGGCTCTTTCTATCTCGATATTTTTACTGACTAAGGTAACTCGTTAGTCGGCCATTGAAAACAATTTGAATGGTTATCATGTTTCCATTATTTCAATTTCCTTTTTTAGCAACTCGTTCTGTTGGAAGAAAGTTATTAATTTAAAGAACGTTAACACTTGTAAGGAGGATACCTTTTCATTTCTTGTTCAATCATGGAAAATGCCGAACAACTAAATTATCGGAAGATATTGAAGAGTTAATGGTGAAGCAAGATTGCAAGGTCATTAATAGCTAGAGGTCATAAACAGTTTACAAATGGTACATCTAAAAATTCAAAATTAATGGTTGAATTATCATTAAAGACGAAAAGGGTTGATTCATTAAGTAGCTTCACAGTTTAACCAAAAGTAACCCTTCATTAGTATTGCCATCTATTAATTCCTATGCCATCTATTGAAAATAAAACAGTGCAGATAATTGGTTGGTTAAGCAATTAAATAAAATCTCTGTTAGTTGATTCATCTTTACTTTGATCATCACAGTTGAGAAAAAATGGCCACTGAGGTAAGTGACAATTGAATGTTTGTCAGTCAAAGGTAATGTTTGATTCATCAATTGATGGATCAGTAATACTGGTCGTTGGTTAGGAAAAATATTTATAAATAGAGAATCCTGTTCCAATGAAGATAATTATTCCAATGAGATCAAACCATAGCGAAGGAAAAATTGTTTGATATAAATTCTGTTGTCTTTCTTTAGTTGCTCCTAAATTTGTTGAATCTTTTCATTGGTTCGACGTTTTATCTCTTCACGAGCTTAAACTCACTTTCGGGTTCATGAGCTGAGTCTAATGTTGCAGGTTAATCCATCCATTCAGCTACATGATCTGTACAAGATCTCATATCTTTAGACGACTCAGCTCTTTCTTCCTCTTGGTCGGATGTTTTATCACTTTTAAATCTATGAATGCCAGACATTATACAACTTGTCCTGAAAGATGTTTCATTTAAACGCAGACATGTAAATCATGTAATCAAGCAACTGACTTGAGCGGTTTTTTTAAAATTTGATTCAATAATTCAACTATTTTAGCAAAAGCCTTAAAATTGAATCTTATATATCAAATCATTACAAACATTTTGATCGGCTGTCATCGTTTCATTTTCATTTCATTTTTAGCATCTCGTTCTTGTTGAAAGATATAATAAATTCATTAGAATATTGATCATTTCTTGTTGGGCGATACCTTTTTGGTTTCTTCTTCAATCATGGAAATGCCTGAAAAACAGACATTAATAAAATTTAAAACAATAGATGAATAGAAGATGAATGTTAGAAAAAAAACATCGTGTCTACAACCCTAGGTTCATCATATTCTTGGTCAATAAAGGCTATTGAATCACCTAAATTACCCGAAGATATTGAAGAGTTCAGACTGAAGCAAGGACTGGAGGTGGTAATGAAGAGAAGTAGCAACAGACTGTATGACAAGGTTTAACTACTTATTGTTGCTAGTTGATTGCATTTCACTTTTCAACTCATTACGTTAACTCAATAAAACAATTTCCGATTTCCGATTTTAATCCATCATTATGTTCTAGACAAGCATCTTTACCAAAATTTGCTCATTAATTCAAGGTAAAAAAGTAAGATTTCCTGATGGTTAATTGTTAGTTTTCAATTCTTTAAATTTTGTGTGTTCACTTATCCTGGCAGTTGAAAGAAGCTTTTGCAAAGGTGAGGTCTATGTGAACTATTGGGAAACAATTGAATTTTGCAATTTTAACAAGTAATCCACTCTGATGACTCAAGGTAGAAAGGCTAAAGGGGAATCACTAGGCCAAACTAATTGTTTAAACTGTGAAATTGAATTATTTCCCCCTGTAGTTCACATAGATGTCACCACTCCAAAAGTCAATACTGTTGCTGAAATCTTTCAGATTGCATCAGATTGAGGATACTTAAATGGTTGCTTTTCTTCCTCTTTTATCAATATCTAGTTTTGACTAACATAAATTACAACTTCAACATTCTCAAAATTTGAATATTTTCTCTTCTTATTACAGGAAACAATGGTTAAACATAGAGTCAATAACTCTGCGAAAGATTCGAAAGAGATTCGTAAAGTAAACGAATTTGAACGTCGGAAAAAGGAAGCAGAATTGATAAACAAAATAAAGAGGAGCGTTCCATTTTTTAAAAGAAATGCCAAATGTAATAAGAAGGAGTTTCTCAGGACTATTACTGGATACGTCAAATTGTTTCACAGTAAGTATATCATGATCGTTCTGTATCCATCAATTGATGTAATATTTTTTCTTTAAAGGCTTCAAAAATACAAGTGTACAGCCATTGCCATTGAAATTAGATGAAGTTTTTCAATCGCTGGTGGTAAGTTTTACTTTATTAAATACCTTTCTTTTTGATTAATCTAACGTTCTTTCCTTCATTTAATCACAATTATATTACAATTTTGTTATTTATAGCGCTCCGATGAAATCAATGTGTTCGTTTGTGATGGTGATTTGAATATGATTTTCTGCAGTGATTCTGCGTTCGCTAGCTTAGGCTATCAGTGGAATGATGTCTACAATAAAAAACTTTCATCTCTGGTTTATGGAAGAGACCAAGATGCCTTTCAAAGGCAGATCAATGCTCTCAAAGAGGACGTTATTGAATCAATGCAGACCAAAGACTTTAACATAACCTGCAGAATGGTCATGAAAAAGAAATCCAAGATCCCAGAAGGCCATCACTTGGTCAGAATTACCGGTACGATTGAGTATCAGAGGGAATTAGTTACTCAAAAAGTAGCTATTCAAAAAGCCAAAAATACGCATCTATCAATTAGATATGAAGATTCACCGGACCATGATTCAGCGATTAAAATTCGAGGATCGATTGGATTGATAAAGGATCCAGACTTCTTAACCTCACAAATTGATTACATCTTGCGTAACAATAGCGAATATCGTCTTGTTATGGATCCTAATGGTGTAATTTTGTTTGCTTGCCATCGGTAAGTATTATAAGATAAACCTAATAATGAAAACTAATGATTATTTAAAAATTTATAAATTCATTTCAATTCTTTTTAAAGTATTGTAAGCAACCTTGGATACACACCTGAGGAAGTCATAGGAAAATCCGCTTATGAGTTTATGTACGCAGCGGACAGGCAAATGTCACTTTACGCACATGCAGGAAGTAAGTTCACTTTTTCTCAATCACCATTCCAATGTAATTGTTTTTAATTTTAATTTTCATTTTTTTATCATTACTTAAGCATTGCGCGACAACGCCGGTGTCATTGTTCATCGTTTAAAGGATGTGTGCGCTAGAATTGTTTACCTAAGATCTGAGGGCAGATTGGAAAAAACTGACGAATATATTTTCTTTCATATAGTTGCTACACTTTTAAGGTTTGTATTTGCTTAAGACACTTTTTACTTTTTATCGTAAAGCTTTTGATAGCAATAATACTAATATTGTATAATAAATTAATGTATATTTTTATTTATTCGCAGTGAAGAGGAAGGGGAAAAACTACTTCGGCAATACGAAGCTGATTTAATGCCACAATGCTATAATAAGACGGTCCAAGAGTTACAGGCTAAAGTAGACAATGTTGCTAATGAAAAGCTGCTTCAATTGGAAAATCAATTAGCAGCTGCTAAAATGGTTGATGGCTGTGACAATAAAGCAGCCAATTCTTCTAATGATAGATTAAAAGCATCCACCTCGGACATCTCTTCATCCCCATGTTCATCAAGCATGAATTCTGCATTCCAAGGAACCCTCAATGAATCCACCGAAAATGAATTTGTCGAAATTGCCTCAAATGCGCAATCATCACCACCAGGTCCATCTTCACAATCGTCAAATCTATCAACTTCATCGTCATCTGTACCCACCCTATCGCCTTCAACAAGTGTACCATCTTCATCAACACAATCACCTTTATCCCAATCTCCCTCATCTCAACCATGTTCATCTCAATCTCCTCCAACTTATTCCCTGACACCAGAGTCGCAATTTACATCCGACTCATCCTCTATGTCACAATCAATGCCATCATCTGCTTCATTATCGATAAATTATCCTGTATATGCCACCATGAATCCCTACGTTCCTCCAACTGTTATGAACAGTTTCCCTACAAATCAGCGTATCCTACAAAATCAATATTATCAGTTTGGAACTAATCAACTTTGCGGAATGACTTCTGGACAAAATGCTTTTGTTACCAACCCTAAACAAATGCACATTATCATAACTCAATGTACAATCTCCGATCAACAAACCTTTTTCAGCGCCCCAGTCAACAACCCGCAAATAATTTTTCAACCCACCTTCCCTCAATATCAAACTTATAACTATAATCAAGAGGTTCAAAATATTGTCGGTCTTGATATAAACCAAGAACTACAAAGAGTTAATGTTAACGATTTTGTTTCCAGTTGTGACTATGAACCCGAACTAGATCTCAAACAATAAATTACAGTGTAATTACACTTAACCGATATTTTTGGAGATACTCCATCTATTAGAATAATTAAAACTTTTCTCTTATAATTCTCTTTCTCACTTTTCATTTTAATTTTGTTCAATCAGAAAGACTAAGAAATCAGAACAAAAAAGACAGAAATACTATTGTCCAAAGAAAAAAGTATTAATTATTCCAATAGATGGAGAGTCTCCAAAACATCGGTTAAGTGTTATTTTACTGTACATTCATAACAAAAACAGGAATTAATTTTATCCGACTCTTCTCTCTTATATACTGTCGTCATTGAGAAACTGAAATTGTAAACACAGTGAACGATCACAAGAAGAAAAGTTCAGTTCATGAGTATAATTTAACAGTTACTCAATAAAATTTTAGTTTCATTTTCTCCTTTTTAGTAAAAGTTTTCAATTTGCCTCAATAAATAGCTTATTGCTATTTTAATACTTTACCTGGTTGTTCACTGTGCTCAAATACAAGATTGAATCATGTCCAATTTACTAATTTTAGTTTAAATTATGTTAACTGATTTTAATTACCGTTGAATGTTATGAATTTTTCAACCAATATTTTGTTAATACAAACTGAATCAAATCTCTAAATTATAAATGTAATTCGATTGTAAACAAAAAGTAAAAATATTACTCTTTGTACATCAAGTCTCCTCTTCGAAGACAATTGTAAAGTTGCTGTTCCTCAAATGCGACTCATGAAATCAATTCGAAATCACCAAATAATCATTGAAATACTGTAATCGATCAGTTGTAATCATTGTTCCCTTGACGTTGTACAAAATATTTATGCCATTATTTCTTGATGTATCACAAAATGATCAATGTTCAAATCAAATTAAATTTATTTCCAAGTTATAAGCTAAAATTGAATACGGAGCTTAAGTAGTCATATATTTTACCTCTATAGCCTTACCTCGCAAATTAATTGTAATCTATAAACAAGAAAATTACAATCAAATTTTTTGAAGCATTAATTTCAATTCAATAATCAATTTCAATTACTATTAGCCTTGTATAATAAACTATTTGATTAATAAATAGTCTTCTTTAAATAACAACGCATGATTATTTCATCGTGTTTCAATTTTACCCTTGAAATGTTCAAATGTTATAAAATCATGAGTTTTATAATTTTATTAACTAAAAGCAATTAGGGAATCTGAAATGAATAGGCTCATTGAGATGAAATAAACATGCACATAGCTGAAAGAAATTGATTGTTAAATCTAATTTCTCGATTTATAAAAATAATTAAGCTCACAACTCGAAAAATAATCCGAACCATTCCATCAATCATGGCTTTAGTGGAGTTTGAAACTGGAAATGCTTAAATTACCATTACTATTAATTGTATTGTTGATGTGTTATAACTGCGACCCAAGATAATCAATATAACTTTGCATCAATTAGAAAGTTCATTGAGAAAAAAGTCGAGAGATGATCTGACAAGTTGTCAATACTAGAGTCGAGACATTTTTTGTTTGCTTTTTCCACTTTTCTCTTTTCTTTCAATGGATCTTTGAAAGTGTAATTTATGACTATTTTACTTGAGAATGCGTTTTTAAAGGTCAAATTTTGGTTACCCAAGTTGACCCGAGGTCATTCAAACTTTGTAAATTACCGTTAAATAAGGTTAAGATAACTCTGAGAAGTAAATTTACAATAAACCGTCAAGTATACTCTTGTTCTGGGTGGATAAAAAGCAATGGGAAACAAGTGATACTCAAAATTTGTGCGCGGAATCAACTCAAACCAGAGTCAAATGTTACACTTCCACACTTAAAATGGTAAAAGTTAGGAAGGTAAATCCAAATTGTTTTGATTTAATCAATTTAGTAATTTAGTAGTTTTGGATGTCAATTAGTGTTGTATTGTTCTTGTTCTCCAGCGCCAGGAACAATTGTTCTTTGTTCTGTTCCGTTGTTTTGTTCCGAAAAATCGGAACTAGGAACAACCTAGGAACAGAACAACCCAAAATCTAGAACAGAACAAAGAACAATTGTTCCTGGCAAAGAACAAAGGTGACGCAATAAAATGCTAAATGAGTGCCTAAAGTAACCCTTTAACACCAGAGATATTCAAGTCAAACCCTATTTTGCCCAAAATCTGTTGATAAATTAAAATTTTCACCAAAATTGTTCTCAGTTTTAGTGTTTTGTTCCGCTAGGTTTTTTTTGTTCCGATTTGTACTGTTCTTGTTCTTGTTCTTGTTCTCGATTTTAAGAACTAGGAACAACATTTTTTGTTCTTGTTCCGAAGAAATTGTTCTTCTCGTTGTTCTTGTTCCTTGAAAATATTGGAACAATACAACACTAATGTCAATAATATATTCAAATTGACTTTATTTACACAGAGAAAGATAAAATATCAACAAAATTAGCTCTCTTGAAGTCTTTCTGACCTGAGATATTTCAAATCAATGCTTACCTGAACATCTGTAGAATCATAATTGATCTTTGAATCATTTATAATCAATAGTTCATCAGTTAAAAATCAACCAACAATAAGATCATTATTAGTAGAAAGTCTATGAAATGATAATGAAAGCAAAATCTAAACACAGGCAACATTAGGAAAAGAGGTTGTGTTAAAATGCAATAAGGAAATGGTAAGAATCTTTTAAAAAGGTTTAAATTGTGTAGTGTTAATGATTTGATTCTAAAAAATTACTATGTTGTTAATTGTATTTTAATTGAAATCATGTTCAGTTGAAAGTTGGATAAACGGAAACTGGAATGAAGCACCTTTACACTTTTGTTTGGTGTTACAAAAACTTGAGAAGACATCAATCGTGAATCGATTCTAGGAAATAATCATTGATCTGGTTAATAGTAAAGATAGACAGTTGCGAAGAAATCAGTGTTGGCCAATTTAAATTGCTAAATTTGTCAAAATCAGTCAACACAATTTACTTGCAATCTAAAGGTTCGCATCCTGTCCCAATTGCTCATCCAATCAACATTGCTAATCTATGTCTACAAGTCTAATGTCCATCTTGGTCAATACATCTCATCGTCATTCAGAGTGGTTCATTACAATCATTTCATTATTCATAACATCAATAGATTGGTTAATTAGAACAAATATAATCAAAATATAATCAAAAAATTAAAGTCAAACTCTAATGAGTTTCACACGAAATATTAAATTTACTTTTGTTACCATAAACAAGCCATTTGATAAACCAGCTGATCAGTGTGTGAGCTTGATATGAATATAATAAAATAAGTTAAATTGATGGGAGTAACAAGTGTTTAGGTCCTACTTCACTCATACATATCAAGTTACAATCCAATTTATCACAATTAAAATATTTTTTACCCTAAACTATAATAAGATTGAGTGGTAAAGCAGTGTTTACCTAAAAGACTCTCGATACATTAGCTAATTCAATAAAATTTAAATTTAGCTTCTATTGTAACTGAAAATTGATAATTTCCAGACTATTGAATTACCTTATTGATGTAATTCCTTCTCATCCAAATCATCTTAATCATCATTAATATCACTCACAGTTACCAATGGTTAGCAATCTCGTGGTAAGTTAATTATGGCTAGAAAACGTTTAAATCAAAGATAAAATTATTACATTGAGTAAAAAGCTTGAGCACAATAATCATTATTCAATGTTATTATAATGTAATTATTGTTTAATTTAACCATTTAAATATACTTTATACTTTGAAACTAATTGGCAAGCAATCAGCTTGATTGTAATTAAAATAGATTGAAAGATAATCAATAAAATGTTTGAATTTTAAAGCAAAAAAAACAGTTTCGTTTATTGATCATTTTCTGGTTCAACAATTTTTCCTCTCCCATACAGTAATGTATCCATAGATAAATCATTATCATTTCATTTCAAATTGCAATGGCAATCATCAGCCAATGACCATAATAATAATAATAATAATTAACATCAATGAACATCATCAGTTAAACTGAGAAAGTATTTACAGTATGAAGTGCAAAAAATGAGCAATAATTTTCAAGAAAATTGAAGGGGAAAAGGCTTCAAAGGTCATTGCAAGAGATGATTTAAAGAAATGATTAAGATTGAAATTATCCATTGGTTACTTTATCTTGATTTAATGTTTCTTGAGAAACTGAATTACAGTTTGTTTGAAATGAAGATACATGAAGATGCATTTATCCTTTTTTTTGCATTACATCTTGTTCAACTCTGGGGCCAAATAGTTTTTGAGTAAAGCCAAAAAAATGCCAAAATAGATACAAAGTTTCTAGTTAAAGATCATTTTTTGTCTTCACTACAACGCTTTCCTTTTTTCATCCCAAAAACAGAATCAAAGGATTGCAAAGCAGTTAATTATATACAGTCAAATCAATTTTCATTTATTGAATCTGAGCAATCACAGAGTTTGGTTTCCAGTTAATCACGCGCAATGAAATGAAGCTTTTTGTTGCCTTTTCCTGCATCATTAGACGAGATTGTTGATGGATTCATGTTGAGATAAATACATAAATTGTCCCAAGTTTTGTGTAAATCTGGCTGAGTGATCAAATTGGCAAAAAAGGTAGAAAAGCGTTGTCCGACAATGTGTTAATACAGGAGAGTCAACAAAATCATGGTCAACGTTGGAATGCAAAAAACTGCTCATCATTGATTGACATGATACAATTATATCAGCACATGGTATCGTGTATGTTTGGTTTTGGGCACTCGCCCTAGTCTGATAATAATCATTTATCACCGCAATTTATTTTGTTGAGCTTTAAAATGAGGAGACAAAAAATTGCATCAAAACAAGTTATGAAGTGATGAGCAGGATAAAAAATACTGTAAACAGCGAGATAACAAAAACGATCAACATTGTGAAGACTTCATTGATTCACCAATATATATATTATTTGCTCCAATATAAATACACTTTTTTAGAGGCAGTTTACTCCAATCAACCTGAAATTAACCTGTAATCAAAAACATGATGAACAAAAAAAAGAGAAAGAAAAAAAGAAGATATTAATAAAAAGAATCAAAGATGCCTTGGAAATAAGAGGATGAAGAGCAAAGTTAAAAAAACTTGAAAGGTTATTAGAAGTCGATTTTTGATTTCATCATAATCATACGAGATAAAGACCTTCACTTGAAGAGGAGGTGGAGGAGGAGGAGGAGGTGATGATGATGATATAAAAATCCATGATGAAACCAATTTGATACTAATAAATGTATCAAGCTAATGAAAATAAAAAAAAGGTTAACAACTAACCGTAAATGATATCAACAGCAACAATAACAATTCTTGCTTCTGAAAATACATTCAAAGTAAACCAGGTAGGAGGAGTTGTTGATAGATTTGATGATGATAATGATTATGATGATGATGGTGATGATGATAATGATCAAGATGATGATAGTTTCCCATTTTTATAGCAAGATGGGCCATAAGAAATTCAAGCATCTTGTGGTTTGTGACCGGTTAAGTTGGACTTCACTTTTCACTTCATTGGCTTGTAATCATTTGTTGCCTGAAAAATAAGGTGAAAGAGGGTTTTTAGTTAAATGAATGTTTAAGAATCAAGGGATCAAATAATGAATCAAAATCTATTTTATTCTTATAAAATATATATCTATAAGAATAGGATAATTACAGGTTACAATAAAGTAGTCTTGAAGCTTGAATTGAGACTTAAATTGAGAGGTAAATTGCTTGTCTACGCTTCTTTTTTGTCCACACATTTACTTACTTTACGTGATTTTTTTCAATTAAATTGGTTTATCTTTCAATTTCAATATTTGTGATCAATGATTGTAATTATCTTAATGGTTCGACACTTGAGATCAAGCAAAGTGTCAAAAATGTTAATCAACATAATCCAGCCAATTTAAGTGGTTTAGTGTTGATTTTTCCAAGGCTTTAAGATAAAGATTCACTGTTGAAATCTAACCTGTCCATGTCTCTAGGGCTGTTAACCAGTAGCTGCAATTCAATCTTTGAGGTGTTTACCTGAGCTTTAACTTTCGTTAATTAGATGATTGTCTAATTAATAAGTAAAATATTTTTGAGATTGTTGATACATTTTGATTGGAAGCAAAACCTTAATAGTTACAGCTTTTTTTCACAAGACAAACAAAATTGTATTCAACATCAACATCATCTTAGAGTAACAACATTTGTTTATTTATTTTTTTGTTTCTAGAAACACAAGATGATAATGATGATTATACTGATGATGGTGATGATGTAGATGATGATGAAGGATGTAAATGAATAGGAAGATGCATCCGGTTAAGATGGTGTTGTCAATGTAGAGACTTGACTATAGACACAAATGTATTGGTGAAACAAAGTACTGGATATAAAACGATGAGAAGCAAAAGGAAACGAGGCAAACAAATAATAAAATGAAGCAAATTAGTTAATAACTAAACTAGGATGGACTAAAAAATTTTAAACTAATCAATTGAACTAATTATTAGTTGTATAAACATCACAAAACAATTAACAAATTGATCAACAAAAAAACATTGGCTATGTAACTGCAGACGATGTAACCAAAGCGATATAAAAATGGGAAAAAGGATAGCGAAATAAATTGCGCGAAAAACAAAAACCTTTTTTATCCATTGAAAAATGAAAGAAATCTTTTGATAAAAATGGTTAATCAATGGTTTTACTTCAATTATTTACAATTAAATAAAAAATCTCTTACAAGTTTATACAATAATTTGGATTGATATTAAATTGCAAATTTGTTTCTCATGAAAATGATATCAAGTCAATTTCACCAGGGACTTGGATTGTATTCATTGTAACAACAACATGTTTAGTAAAAGGTGATTGATTGTTGTATTTTTAATGGTTTAAGGTTAAATTCACATTGAAATTTGATATTTGATAAACCTTTGCATTCCAATTCAATTTTAATAATCAAAAGGCAACCTTTCAAGCAATCAATTTTTAGCTTCTCTCCTTTTGATTCAATTAACTCTACATTTTTAATTTACTCTACTCATTTTACCATGATTATATGAAAACCAAGGGTTTTCAAATGATTATTAAGATGTAATCATGAAAATTGAAATCAAATTGAGTTTAGTTGACGGAAGATAACATGATTTATGATCCTCTAAATGTATACTTATACTTGTATACAAGTCATTTTATACACAATCATCATCATTATCATCATGATTGAAGATGAAGTAAACCAATGAAATGTAGAGTTAACATGATGATGATGATATTGAAACGCTGAGAAGCTGAATGATTGGCCAAATGTTAAAGGCAAGGAGGAGTTGAAAGATACCTTTCCAACCAATAGGAGCAATGAAAAAGGATCCCTATTTTTCATCCTCATCATTTTATCTTCATCAGTTCAAGTCGCCTTCCATAGCTCATGAGCAGCTGTACAGCTTAAACGGGATCACAAAAAGCTTTGAGTTTAACGCAAGCAGCTAAACTCACACGAGCTCTCTCTGTTTTGAGCTATTAAAATAGCCATTGCTTTACATCTTGCACTTTAACCATTATTTTGTTAATTGTTAATCACAATTTACCCTTTTATTTAAATATTTTCATTAATTTCAACAAAATAACAGCCAACGGTTGAAGATTGTAAAACCAAGGTAAGTAAAATTTTATCATCTAACAGCAAATAGTCAATAACCTTTCCTTTTTTACACATTATAGTTTCAAATGGATTTAAGGTTAATCTCATCTGGACCTGTTACTTCGTTTCATCCTTCACCTCACCAACACCACCACCACCACCATCATCATCACCTTAATCATAATCAACATCTTGACTATCACCATCAACAAATTCATGGCCACCATTCAACCTCATTTCACGAACCTCACAACCATCACGTTCACTATCAACCATCTGATTCTTATAACACCAATCTGATCCGGACAAACCCTTCCTATGATCATCTTGCAGTTTACACGGGATGTAATGACAACCATTGGTCTTCACCATCGCCATCAACAGCATCACCAGCCAATTGTGATAACAATTTACCGTTGACATCTTCACCCTCTTCATCGTCACCTTCATCAACATCATCAACATCTTCTTCTTCTTCCTCTTCGTCCTCGTCATCTTCATCTCTCTACAACTCTTCATCTACTCCACCATCAGCATACTGTTTACCCTTTTCCCCACGAAGCTCAAATTCAAACCCATCCTCGTCCCATTCACCTGGACTATATTCCTCATCATCTTCATCGCCCTCTTCAGCCGATCTTCATCTTCACCCCAATCAGCCAACAGTAAAATCAAAAGTAACACTAACAACACTCACACCAACCACTAAAGAGACTATAACAGCATCAACAATAGACTACTATGAGCCCCTACCACCACCACCACCTCAACTACCCACCTCATCATCTCCACACTTTCTCAGTCCAGGTTCACTCTCAATTAGGCCAATTTCACTGCATCATCATGCCACTTCGGCTGAACCTTCAACCATTGACTTTAACCATGGTCAAAACTCATGTGTACCTGAAGCTGCTTCAAATGTTGTTCAACCTCACACATTGATTGAAACTCCATCCATTGATATGGCTGATCAATGTATAATGAATGAAGACCATGAACAAGGAACTATTAGAATGCCGAAAAAGCGCAACACGGCAAACAAAAAGGAGCGTAAAAGGACTGTATCGATAAACTCTGCATTTAGCCTTCTTCGTGATCGTATACCAAATGTACCACCAGACACTAAATTGTCCAAAATTAAAACCCTTCGATTAGCAACCAAATACATTTCTTGGTTAATGACTGCACTGGAAGCTGACAATTCAGTTGATGAACATGGTAACCAACGATTACCTGTTGTTTGTGAAGATTTCAAAGTTGATTTACGCTGCAAAGAGGTTAAAAGAGATTCTAATCATTTGGTAAGTTTTTTTCCCCATTTTCTAGTCTCAGTTTACAACAGTTATGCAAATTATTTTGTCACTTCTCGCGGCAGACCATTTGTCTCTGGCCACTTTTTGTTTTAAAATGGTTTAACCGATGAAAGCTTGTTATTTCATTCGTCAACTCTTATCCCTTTGATTCTTGACAGAACCGGATTTAACGGATTAACAGTGTTAAAACGATGATGATTTGTTAGACTCTCGGCTCTTCCTTTGAAATATGAGCATTAATCAGTTGTAAGGTTAAAATGAGAAGCTCAAGAGTGACAAACATCCCGTTTTTTTGATGTACAAATTTGTACTTGCATTGGATTAACATGTAAATCATACTTGTTAATTCATCATTAGAGTACAAAGCCATCAACAAAAGAAAGCCTCAACAATTAGTGATTCAATGGTTAAATCCTAATTGTTACCCAGCTGCTAAGCAGTAGCAATTAAACACTTTTAGAAGAGGAAAAAAGTCATTATCAAGAAATTTACCTTAGAAACATTAATTTAAACTCAATAATAATCTTACGTTGAAACAGTAATTACATGGAAATGTTGATGAGTTCATCAGAAAATTGATAATTTGCTTGATTGTATCAAAATTTGTTGCTCGAGGAAAACAATTTCTCGCTAACAAATGTATCAAAAATACATTACAAGCTTCACTCAGCATAAACAGAGTTTACTTCACAGAACTGTCAATCCAATAACCATCAATGATAACTGTTCAATCAAAACTCAAGCTTTTCATCAGTTTAAACTTGATCATTTCCGGGAAAAAAAGATGATAATGATGATAATGAAGAAAAGATGAGTTTCGATGTTTACTTGAAAAGATATTTTAAGCTTAACCTTTAACAGAAACGAAGCTTTCTCGTTGTTTCCTATTTCAAATATTACTTGATTGTAGTATCAAAAATTATCACTTACAACAGTTAAATAAATCAATAAATTACCGAACCTTTAAACAGCAATTGGCTTTACCATTGTCAGCCATTGTTACAATTACAGACAAGAAACGGTAATAAATAACAAGCAAAAATGAATCAAAATTTCTGTAAACAAAATTTCCTTCTCAATGATTGAAATATTGAAATTGTAAAAACTGTAACAATACTAATCATTTACAATTAATCACCAAAACAGTTGATTGACGAAGGAAAAAATGAGCAAAAAATCAAGAAACAGCCAAAATCCCAAGAAAACCTTTGAACAAATGCATTGCATTTGATCTTTGCTGCACAATCAACTTCAGTTATTAACTTACAATCATTGACTACAATCAGTTGATTATTTCAATTTCAGTTTAATTGCTATAAGCCAAAAGTGGACCCAGAAAGAGCATAAAAAATGTAACTTGCTAAATTTACATCAAGTTTATGTTAACAGTTTTTTGTTTATTTTTTTTAAAGTCAATTGAATATTTTTCTTTCAATTAACTATCCGACGTTATGTTAATTCATCATCATCATCATCATTATCCTCATCGTAATTTTGCTCATCTTTAACATCATCTTTATGTGTTCACTGCCAAATTGTTGTATTTAGATCAACTTTGCTAATCGACTCAAATCACTTGTCTAATTATAAAATGTGTTTGCCTTTTCAGAAAATCAATTCACCAAAGGAACTATCAATGGACAATTACGATGTATCCATGAAGAAGAGCAAAGGTCGAACTGGATGGCCTCAACATGTTTGGGCATTAAACTTGAAACATGAACACTCTGAATCCTAATGAAATCCTCAATCTAAATGAAAATCAATGAAACAAGTCAAAAGTAACATTTTGATCAAATACAATTTACCATTTAAACTAATTATTCAAAAATATTCAATTGTACTGTTTAACTTGAAATTTAAATGAAACCCAGAAAATTGTAAAATACAATATTGAATGGCAAAACTGTAACAATGTAAATCCATTGAAAAGATGATTAAACTCGGAAAAATAATAAAGTAATTATTCACTAGAAAATTCATGATTTGATGTAAAATAACGATAAAAATAAATGTTAATCAAGAGCTTCTTTTATAGACAATTTGTTACAAAACAATAATTCAAATGTACATTGACATTGAACAGTTGACGATAAAAGGCACTTTAATTAAGGTTAAATGAATCTTGATTGTATCAATTGTATCATCTTCATCAAAATTTATGCTCAAAAGATGATTATCATTGTCATAATAGACGTGAATCGGTGAAGGTTTCATTGAAGGGTTGAACTTTTGTCTATAAAAATATTTTTATATAGATTCAGATTCAACTCTGAATTCACATGAAAGGCTGAAGGAGGGAAGATGAAGATACAGATGATAATAATGTAGTTGATTTGAGATAAGAAAGGTTGAAATTAATGGGAAAATTGTCCTTTTTCAAGATGAAAACAGATTTTCAAATGAAAGCTCTATTAATCATTTCTCAATGTTTTTCATCCTTTTGTATTGTTTGATTTGTTATTCAAATTACGAGTCAATTTAACGTTAATCGATTGCTTATCATTTATATATTTAGTTAAATAGTAGGTGGGAGTGATAATCATAAAAATACTAATAAAGTTAAAAGGTTACAATTTGTGGATCTGTGTGTTCAGTTTACACACAAATGGCTGACAATGATAACCATAATGTAGCATCAAGTTGATGATGAAAATGAATGATAACAGGATGATGAACATGATTATACTTTCCGTGTTCAGTGAGTCTGTCTTGTTGGTTAAAGTGTATTTTGATAATAATCAGTAATTCAATTTACAAGCTGAACATAATCAAATTATGATGTTTCCCATTTTACCTCAAGTCAATCATTTGGCCTTTTCTTGCTTCAAAACCAAATTATTTGAAGGCAAAGATGATCATTTTTATTTGAAAATTGTTGCGATTTATGAAATTTTTTGCTCATTTACATTGCAATTTAGCTAAACAATTAATGTTATTGATAATCTTGCTGTCAAGTGTTGGTCCAATGTTGCTTGTTTGACTCTCATTTTTACTGGTCTTTTCCTCCATCTTCATAAATTGTCACAATTGTGGACATAATTTTCATCATAATTAGAGCATAAATTATCAACATTTTTCAATCATCGTTTGATTGTCCATTAATTAAAATCTTGAGACACTTTTTTTTTGTACCAATATTTTAGGTTTTTTGTTGTTGTTGCCCAAATTTTGCCTTTCACTCATGATTTAGTAAGTTGTCAAACATTAAGTTGTCATCAAATATATTCAATTAATTGACAGTTTAATTGATTCAGGGAATGTTAGGAATGAAGGTTGATGATGTGGATGATGGTGATGAAAAATGATTATCATGATGATAAAGTAAATAAACAAGAAGGAATAACAAGGAAAACAAAATTTGACTGTTTATGCAACCTGCTAATGATGTTTTAAGTTGACTTGTTGCCTTAATGGTGACTGTTAAATGGACTGGGATCAACAATTTAACGAATCACTTCAATTTTTAAAATGAAGGTAAAAAAATTCAACAATTGAAATGGTCAACAATTCAAACCATCATTCAGTATCATTATCAACAAAAGGTATAAAGTAATGGTTAAAGCTTCTGTGTTGATTGAAATGGCTGGTAAAATAATATTGTAAACTTAATCAAAAGAAATGAACATTTCTCTTTTCTTAACCATCCAGACAAATTGGACAGTTGGACAATTAACTAGTCTAGTTGAGTTAATAGTGGTTGAATGTCCAGTGTTAGGGTTTTGCAAAAATAAACAACAATAAAAAGGCTGGTTAAAGGCTTTCATTGAAGAGCCACCCAGAGAGAAAGGGAAATAGAGATGAAAATGAAGATGAAGATGATAAAAATGGTGATGGAGATGATAATGATGATGATGTTGAAGATTATTATCTATTCAATTATCTTTGTCTGTTCATTTTGGCTCATTTTAAAGTGAAAAAATGGTCAATAAAAGTCTTTTAGTAACAATTTCGCCAGCTTTAAGCTATTCATTTCAGGCCTAAGTTAAAATGTAAACCATGAAACAATCAACTGACATAATTAACTCGCTTTATTGTGATTGATAATACATTATATTTGCACTTTTTTTTGCTACTCTCAACTGTTTAAAATATTGTGATCGCTGTGATAAAAAGTGAGTCCATTAGAGCGTATTTAGGTGTTGATTGTCCATAAAACGCACATTTAACGCTTTCAATTTACACTTAGGATTTGGGTTGAAAATTAATGGCAAATGTCTTTTATCACAGGCGTTAGGCAACAAGTTTAATTTTAAATTTAGTATAATACAAAAACTGAAATATTGTGTGTCATTGCTTTGCTTTTGGCTGAACCCAAATGGATTACAAATGGTTGGTCATGGTGTGTATAGAAATGGTGTATCAAGAAATATATATTTTCAGCAAATTATTCATGTTGTTTCGTCGTGGAATCGGGTTGGATGATTCGTTGGGAATTGATTGATAAGTATTTATAATTGGTGATTGCAACAAAAATTAATATCAGTGAAATTGGAATCACAATAGATGTATATGTATAGTTATGTACAATTTTTATAGTAAAATCAATCTCGTCTTAAAAACTGGTTAACCGGGTAAATATTGGAATCTCTTTTGATTGTAGTAGTTAACAGGTTCCTTGGTAAAGGATTGCATGTTACCATAGGTTTTGATGTAGATTATGCTTTAATTGAAAAATAGGTTCATCTGGTTAAACCATGTCATCAGCGTTTATATCGACTTTGACGACATTCAATGGCTTCAGTTCACTTGATCTGGTTCCATTTGAGTTTTTATCCTCTTTTACAAAATCCTCTTCTTCATCTTCTTCGTCTTCATCTTCATCATTAGGAACATTAGTTGATTTGTCATCGGATGCATTTGGGGATTGTAGCTTCACTTTTGTTTCATCTTCATTTTGTTGAACCTCAATTTCATGCCCAAAATCAATGGATGATGCTCGGTACCAGACAAAAATATCGACAAGACAGGCAATAAACATAATAAAGGCCGTTAAACCATGAAAAGTAGTTCGGAATTTAAACGAATCGTAAATTCGACAAGCACCAAGTTTACCACAGTTTTCTTCCCAAAAAAGACAAGCGGAATCGACAACAGTACCATAAAGGATCGGACAAGGCACATTTCCTGTGGGTTATAGAAAAATGAAATTAAAAATCAGTTTGTATTGATGTTAGATATAACTGTTATTGGTCTATGAGAATAGCTTCTCGTTTATATGCACCACTTTTCGTGAGGTAATAAATGAAAAATGGGACAAAATGCAAACTCTTATATGTAAGTAATTAATAGGTTTAATTGATCAAATTTAGTTTTAATTTGATCATTGAGAATTATCAATTATTATTATTCCAAACTAGTCCATAAATTTGACTTGAATCCTATTTATTAACCGCTTGAAGTGAACGGTTATTTATGTGATTTATGAATGGCAATTTATCAGAGTCCATAGAGAACTTTTACTCACCGAAAAGTCCAATTGAAAAAGAAACAAGACCTAAGGCCATGGCTTTATCATGTGGTTCGACGCACCTGTAAAAAGATAGCGATTGATAATGATTAAAATGTAATATTAAATGCTCAATACTAAACCTGAGAGTTAACAGCATCGATCCAACTTCACAAGTAGAGTGTACCAATACTATTGTAGCAAATATCACGATATACCAAATCAGATTAGAGCATTCCAGGGGGCAATAACCACTTGTTGCTGTAACATTGAGATCCAGGCAGCCACAATTCGAGTATGTATACTGTAAAATAACATGAGGAAAATTCATTAAATGATTTAGATAAGAAGGCTTAATGTAACCTAAATCGATAGAATTTCGATGGTCTAAGCCAATCAAGGGAAATTTAGAATGAATATTCCACTTATTTCCCTGATTTTCGAACTCATCGAAACACTATTCATTTAAAGTTTATATGCAGTAGATTTAATCTTTTAGAGTTAAATTTATGCTGAAGCAAATGAGAATACAAAACTTACCGATGAAGAATTGCGAGTAACTTTGGTGCAGCCAGCAATACACGGGGAAAGGTAAGTAGTTTTCTGACTTGTGCAAATAGGAGCAAAATGACCAGAACAGGAACAGTCTTTCCAGCAAGATTTATCTGGGCCATTACTGTAAATAATGAAAATGTTTCATATTAAAAAATGATTTAATATTAAAAACAGGAGATAAACCGATAATTCTAGTAACTTATTATTTTGGGAGCTATTGCAGTACTTCCAGCGTAGTAATTTGTTCACGCATAACATAACGCATTTTAAATACTTGTTTTTGTAAGTTGGACTTGACAATGGTTATGCAACCATGACAAACTTATGATTGAATAATACATGAAAAGGCCGATTTCTTCCATTTTCATTTTCAATCATAATTTTCTTGCATTTCAAAGTTAGTTTATATTTCAAATGTGTTAATCCAGCTAATTTTGCAATTTTTAATAAAATTAACCGTCGAGAATGAAATTATTTATATAGAGAGCATTGATAAAAGCGTAGTTATTGAATACCTAAGAATTTTTCACCAATCGATTAATATTGTTCATTTCCGTCCTTTTCTACTATTAACATATAGTTTTCGGATTATTTACTATTTTAAGCTATCTTTCTTGTTTTAAATTAATGAACTATGGAAATCTATAATTATTTGTATGAGTATATGACGCAAATACAAAATACATGTACTTGATGGAATGAAAACCTTTCAATATCAAGTTGACTTTATCAAGAAAAACGGAAGTTTTTTAATAACTAAAATAATAAAGCTGTAATGATAAACGATAATAACTATGATCATTCGATCTGAAGACTAAGTGTTAGAAGATTACAGATTAATCACTGCATTTGAATAATTTTTTAAACTACAAAATCTATTTTTTAGGCTTTAATTTACAACTCAAGGTTACACTAAATTGGTTGCTTTATTAAATCTGGTACTCTCAGGATTTAAAGAGAGCTAGAGTATTTCGCTAATCAGTATATTATTGCTGCATCATTGATCAATAGCTTTACTTCAACTTAGTGTTTGTTTGATCTAATTCTAACAGCAAACTTGGAAAAATTAAGCATAATTTGATAATTTTGAGTAACGAAAATGTACATGAATTCCATTAAAGATTCACATGGAAAATAAGGACCGTTTCGAGAGAAGTTCTACTTAATTGATTCTTTTCATTCAGTCAGTACAACTAGTTTGGATAGTTACTTTCTAATACTTGCTTTGAAATTCAATCGTCGATTTATGGATAGTTAATATGGCTCGCTTAACTATACAAAATAATAGTTAGGATTGTTTTATGCTATGCTACCCTATGTTGATCATTAATTTAAAATAATACAGCCGCGGACATTAAGTTTCGTACACTTTCAAAGAAAGATAAGCATATAGTTGATTATCTAAACAATTTAGACTTAATTTCAAAGCATCTTTGATTAGATAATCAGTTATATGCGTATCTTTCTTTGAAAGTGCACGAAACTTAATGTTCGTGGCTGTATATGAACTTATTAGGTTGGATTCGATTGGAAAATTCATGAAAATTTCTTTCATTCTAGTTGTACTTCTAGTGCTGGCATCTATTGAGTTGAAAGCTTACTATTCTAAGCACCGTATTTTCTTACTTATTTCGAACTTAAATCTTCATATATGTTAAATCCTTATCGTTGTATTGGTAATTGTGCAATTATTGAATCATTCTGTCTGGATTGCAACTCAATAAACTTTTTGGTAGATAAACATGTGCCTGGAAATGATGATCTTATTACAACCTAATATGTTTTAGTCTGAATCCAAGCTAAAAATTGTAATTGTTACGCGCAATAAGCTAAAATATAATTACCTGTTGTATCCAATAAATTCATTCATTGGACAACCAAGACCCATGAGTATCACCATTCCTATTGAGTAAATAAGTGCAGCAGCTGCAATCCAGAGAGCAACGAACTTCGGCGATGGTTTATATCTGCCAATGAAAAAGGAGCTTGCAAATATACCAAAACCCATGACCAAAATGCCTGCAATACCCGTAACAGCGCTAGCCTGTGAGGCAGTCAATTGAAATTGTGACTCCAAATATTTGGGTAAAAAGGTATAAATACCCGCTATGGGCAATAAATGGAGTACCGACGAAGCTATCCTCAAGAGTAAAACATCATTCTTGAGTAAACGCCGAAGAGTTGATGGGAAATCTTTCAAATTTGCCCGATGTGATTCTGCATCAGTCGTCGATGTAGCGACCATTTGCTGATCTTCATCCGATGTATCCTTTCTTTTATCATTGTAGTCATTCACTTTGGAAAGTTTTTTTGGAAATGCCATCATGAAAATGGAGGCAAATGATAACGTGAGAAAGACAAAGATCATTCCAAGCCACCAAGCACCAATCCATTGTGGATCAGAAGGATTCTCAATCGATGATTCACCTGAAGCGAAACAAAAAAATTTTCATTAGTTTAAAAAGTTAGTCTTGAAAGTGAAATGAAATCTTATAATTTATCCAACTAGCTATCAACACATAAATTAACGAGTTTAACTTCTAATTTATAATAATAGAAGATAATCAAGATGCTCGGCTCTGTTAATTGAATCAAGGTTAACTTTGAAACTCCTTAGCAATTGAATCAGAAATTCAAGGATAAAAATTGGCACTTCATCTCAATTTTGTGTAAACAAGATGAGCTTTGATTACATGTGATAGCAACAAAAATAGATTGTTACTCTGTCAACTTTCAACCGATTTCAGACCCAAATTGTACTGAAAGTAAGATCAATTTACAACATAGATACAATTTAAATGATGATTAATTCAAACTTGATGGTCAATCTATATAAGCCCATCGATTGCTTTCACCCTTTGCCAGGCTTTGAATGAAAATATTTGACCAAAGCTAAATTTGTAATTTTGATGAGACTGTTCAACGTAAATATAGCTCTCATTGTGAATGAATAAAAACAAGCAAAACTGAGTCACTAAATTGTCGATACTTTGAGCATAAAATCTGTAAAATCTGACAAGATTAGAATCGGTGAGAGATTGAAACATGATTAGTGTTTAACATTAATTAACATTGCAAAAAAGCCATTTCAGCGATCCATTTAGATCTACTCTCTTTTAGATTCAGGTTCAATTATTTATATAAGGTTAACCAGAAATGTAATGGGCAAAAATGGCTGAAACTAATTAACTCAGGCTCTTTTTTTATTTAAATTGAGGTTATATAAGACCTGTTAAGCTCAATATTTCAAATCATAATCATCGTCATTATCCATGTTCATCATCATCAGCTTCACCATCACTTGCAAGTAAAAAGATGAAAAAGAAGAAGAAAAAATTATACAAAAAGGAAAATAATAAATTAATCTTAATACACCTTCACCTTCAACACAAATTAGCCGCAACATGTTAACCATAATGGCAAGATTGATGCTTTTATTGGTGGCATAAAAAGTAACTAAAAAAAGCTTATTGCGACTTAATTTCAAATCCCTTTCTCTCCTGGATTACTTAACTCAATATCAACTCTTTGATTACATTAAATATATAATCATAAATGGATCATTGAATCTAGCAAACTTGAAAAATTAGCTAAATCTAATTATGAAGAGAGTGAAGAGGAAGAAGGTTTCTTGAAGAAACTTGTATATTTCATTTTGAGCGGGCAAACCCAATCAAGGTTACCTGGTCAACCGGATTTGGTACTGGCTGTGTGAGGTAATATTACTTGTATCTAGTCCATCATAAGTCTTGACAAATCCCTTTTCAATCATCATGATAATGATCATCATCATTACTGGCAATAAAGATAGCCAACCAAGATTATATAAATCATGTTTAACCAGGAATCTTTCCAATTTAAATAACAGTGTCTACAACTGGTCTGCAAGCCAATAATCATCTTAAAGGGAATAATTTCACTCATGGAAAAGGATTGCCCACTCTCTCTCTCTTTATCTTTCTTTTTTTTCTTCCTCATCTTTTTCTTTAGGTCAACCGGACACATTTCTGGTTGGGGAATACCCAGTGTTAATCAAATGTCTGATGAATTACTGTTGTCTTCAAGCACTACATTGTCAGGCAAACATTTGGTTTACTTTAGGTGAAAACCAAGATAAAAGAATCTTTTTGCTCAACATTTCAAAATATTTGCTCTCCTTATGTTTAAAATTCATCTATTACTGAATGCCACGTTGAACTTGATACTGAAAGTCCAATGGTTATTCAAGGTTTGTACATGTGTTTGAATTTAGAGCCCATAATTTGAATCATGAATAATCCAAAGATGGAAAATAGTTAAAGCTGAAATGCTAATATCCAAATTAATTCTGCACAAGTCTCTCCTACTTGAGTCTAAAAAGATTACAAGTTGTAAGTAATATCTGGATAAAGTTCCATATAAGTGTTAGCATTTTATTGTTATTGTTAGTTTTCATGGGCAACCTTCACAGCGACCTTGCAATCAGGGAACAAATTTAACCAAGTGAAACAAGAAATAGCGATGAAGATGATGCAGATGAGGAGGCAACTAAAAAACAGTAAAACAAGAAAAAAGGTGAGAAAAGAGAAAAATTCAAGTGTATAAATCATGCAAAATTAACATTACACAATTAAATTTCAAGGTTATCTTGAGCATTCAAGTAGTCACTATGTTCACCCAATTTCTGAAACCAGATTACTTTTACACTGATCATGTTGGCTAAATGTAACAAAAACAGAATCATTAACAGTAATCAACAGCAAAGTCTAATAGCCTCTGATAGATTGGTTAACAGTGTAAAGGGTGGTGGTTGTACGAAATTTGTTTCAAGGGTAAAAATAAATTGAAGACAATTTTCAACAAGCAAATGTGAAAAGATTGATACTTAAGATGATGATTAAAGTTACTGAACTTGGAAAAGTGATCTTGCAACATGAAGCAAATTCAATCAAATTTACACTCATCTGCAATCTTAAAATTGTAACACTAATTGTTCAATACTGGGCGATTTATCCGTCAATTTGTCTAGCTCTAAACAAGCCAAGAAAAAGTGAAACTGAACTCATTCAACATTATATCTACCCAATCAAGAGAAATGTGTATATTTTGAGATTCAGGACAATTCCAGTAAGCGTTGAGTGTTGAATTTAGGTATTAAAGCAGTTGAATTGATCCACTGATCCCATTGTTGAACTTATTCAATGTTGGTTAAATGTGAACAATTAGAACAGTGAAAGTGATTATAAGATGATTTATATTGATTGGCAATTGGTCAATTTCAGTTGAGCATAACCAGAATTTGGAGGAATCAATTGGTGAAAATGGTTACATAAAGTTGATCAACTTGGCTTCCAAGATGCAGTATTAGATAAGCTAATATTCATAATTTTACTCAACACTTTGGTAAAGCTCCGGCCTCTTAAAGATAATAATCTTGAATACCTTTGACTGGCAAGATTTGGTTTTACAGTCATAATACAAATGTACATAATTATCTTCGACAAATCTTGCAACCCAGAGCTACAACAGGTAATATTTAAATATGCGATTTTAAAAAGGTACAATCGCCTTGGTAAACTGGAAAATAAACAACTGCTGTTTGTTCCTAATGATAGTTTTCCATGGATATTTACAAAGGGCTGGTTATTATGATTATTTGTCTTGCTTGAACAAACCATTGTGAACCAATCTTTTCATTGTAATCAATGTCCTCAATACATTGTATTTCAGCAGGTTAGGTTACAGGTTGATCAGATCAATGATATTTGTAGAGCATTCCTTTTGTTTATATTTCGTTTCCTTTTTGTTTTCCTTTGTCTTTGTATTCAAATATTTCCACCCTTTTGTTTCCAATAATTTTTTGCATATGGACAACTCCTGTGAAGTAAAAGCGTTGCTTAAGGGTTAAATGTTTTTGCTGCGCCAATTAACTTTGACTTTGATTGATGATGATTAGCCATTTCGATTGTTGTAAAATGTTGAAAAGGGTCCACTTTCAAGTATCCAAATATTGGTTTAAAGTGGTCTTAGACATTTTGGTTAGATAAAGCTCAGTTTCGATGGATTTCATAATGGTTTTTAAGAAGATGTTAAGGTTAAAAGCTGATCCTAATCTGAAGATTGTGGCACAAGAAGACAAAAACCAATAGTGATGATGTATCAGAACGATGTTCAAGATGGTAAGATGGAAAGCAAAGCTAACGTGTTGCAATGAGACTCAATTGTCAACAATCCTAAATTATAATCAAATCAAATAAACCAATGTTGCTTCAATCGTGCCGTTTTATCGTTAATTGTACTTCTAAGTTAGATTAGATTGAGTTGAGGAGGAAAAAAAGGAGAACAGGTAAATAACAGAAAATAAAAGTAACTTGATTTGGTAACAAATAAGATGAACAGTTTTGAAAAGGATTAAGAGCAATTGAGTATTTTGCCAGATCAGTGATTTCATAAGATAAATAGCTGGGTATTAAGAGGATTAAATACATAATTGTATACATAATAACCCGCAAATGAAATTGAAAAAAAGTAACCAACAAATTGCAACTAGAAGCTACTTTCAATGACACACATTATTTTGCCGCAAAAAGCAACCAATGATTCTTCCAGAGCCGCCAGTTTTGAGGTAGTTTTGAAAAAAGTTGAGTGTTGATAATAATTTATACGTTAATATTAGTAAAAATTAGTTTGGTTTCACGCTTAGAATAAGAAAACTCACCAAAAGGAAAGTCAATGTGAATATTGGTGCACACTGAACCTAAAAGGAACCCAATAACTGGACCAAAAATTTTGACTCCAATGGTGATGCCTGGAAAAATTAACAATAACAAAATTAGACTTTAACAATTACGGACACACAAATGAATGACTTGATTGTTATTAGCATGAATACATACCGAAATAAAGAGGTGAATCTTTCGGAGCCACATTGTCGTCAATGTAAGGTATACCTAAAGTATTTGTTGTTGTTGAACCAATTCCGATAAACAACAGACTGATGAAGAAAATTGCTAATACCGAATTGGTCAAACGGTTGGCTTTATTGGTGTTTTCTTCTGAGGCACATTGAGATTCATTAGTACCAGATGAACTATTGAGAAATGCAGATGAATTTTGATTTAAATCATCGTTAAACTTGGACACTGAACATAATTGATTTTTCACAAACAGCAGTCCAATATTTTTCTTATCTAAATGACTAAATTCGGAAGAGAGAGTGGATGGTGGTGATGATGATGAGGATGATACTGAGGAAGATGGCAATGATTGAGAAAAATCAATAACTGGATGAGGTGAAAATTGTTTGCGAGCTAAATCATCAAAAAAATAATGAGGTGAAGCAGCAAGTAGAGCAGCCAAGGCAAAAACAATCATACCACAGGCAATCCATTTAGGTCTATTGCCTTGGCCACCATAATAAGTTAAAAAGAGGACACCACTGATTTGACCCATCTCGGTGGCTGACATGATGAATCCGGTTGCCTTTGATTGTACTTGATACAGTTTTTCGATTGTGGTTAAAACGGAAACAAAGTAGGTATAAAACATTCCTTGAAGAACCGAGGTTAGACAGAAAACAGCAAGAAACGTCTTTTTATTGGCACAAGGTTGAAGATATTTAGGTTTAAAAGAACACAATCCACAAGAATAATCATCGACTGCATTTTTATGATTCCTGGCAGAATCAATCTTACACACAGATGAGGAATGGTTAACACGATTTACTGGTTGTGTATGGTTACCTGTAGATGAATCTCCTTTGGTTGTCAATGATGTAGTCATTATTGGATTTAATGTAGAAGAAGTTGTTTCAGTATTTTCCTCCAAAATGCATTCTTTTGTTGATGCTGGTGTCGTTGTTACTGGTATAGCTTTTGTTAAAGTGGACGTTAAAGGTGATGTCGTCAAATTCAATGTAGATACTTGAGATGGTTTTGAAGATGAACTATGAGAAAAAGTAGATTCACTGTGGTTGACATTTGTTGTACCCGAGTTACTTAGAGATCTATTAACAGTGACAGCAACTGATCCATCATCAGGTTCAAGTAAACCATTCTGCTGAGTGGAAATACTGTTCAATTCATTTTCAGGAGGCACATAAACAGTATTAGAAATCATGTCAAAAAAGTGTCAACACAAGAGTGACTTTATTTGTTACAAAGGCAGACAGAGTAGAGAGGACAAAAAGAAATCAGTAATTGCCAAAATAACAACTCCACAAGACTATTAAGTAGGGTAAAATTGATAAAGATTGAGATAATTTTCAAAATAATCAAACTAATAACATTGAGTTAACAGGTTAAAGAAGGTTTCATGTGATTTAACAACAACAACTGCACATCCAGTATTTCATGTTTACTCCACAAAAAGAAAGCATCAAAAAAGTAAACTAACAAAAGGCTTGAAAAAAACCGGTGAGAGAGAAACAGAAAGAAAGAAAGAAGAGAAAGAGAAGATAATCATCTTTACTTGTTGTCATTTTTTCTTTTATTCATCTGCAAAGACTTGCCTTGACATCTCGTTGATGAAAATTGTACTGAAATCACGTTAATCATGAGCAAAATTGATTTGAAATGAGCTCTGTAGGGTAATAATTTTTTTTGTATACTTTTGACGACCCAATCCTTCTCCTCTTTAATCATGGTAATCTTTTTTATTAAGATTGACTGAATTTTAATTTAACCAAACCATATCAAGTCAGTCAATCACAATCAAAAACAATTTAACAATGGCTATGAGTAAAATATCACACCAAAATAGTCGTTAATTCACTCAATCATTTTGAAGATTTTACTAAGGAATTAAACTCTTACTTAAATGAATGGGTCGATAACCAACGATCAACTGTTTAACATAACTAGAAACATGAGTTGATTCATATTTAAAAACCCTCGATTTTCTTTGCGATTTCACTTCTAAATTGTGATTAGTTCATCAAGGACCTACAAATGTTAATCACATGGATGAGTTTAAGGTTAATTTGAATTGTTATATTGTGATTTTATAAAGAGTTTTTGAAAAGTAATCAAAATAGATGTTTCGAAGCATTCGGTTGCATTGTTATTACTGACAATTGTGAGTTTTGTGCTATACATCGGATAAGGTAATCAATTCTCAGACAGGCTCTAACTGTAAGTGTTAGAATCGATGGACAAAATTTGAATAAAATGACTGTTATTTATAATAATATTTTTATATCTGTATATTACAATGTTTTTTAGCCCTCGGAGGTCAATTTTTCATAATGTAATCTTCAATCAATATGAGGTAATTTTGTGTGTGCTCAATGAGAATGAGATGATTTGATTAAAATCGGTGAATCAAAGACATATATGAGAAAAGCCAACATCTCTATAATCAAAGAGTTCAACACACTGGATTTAAGCTGAAATAGGCATGGGATCGAAAAAAAGATAGAAAGTTAATGATAATTTTAGTTTCTTTAACAATATTCCATAGATTTCAAGATTTATCTGAATTTGGATGTGTATATATAATATATGTATAATTTGCTTCTCCATGCCAATGCCCTTTTCTTTGTTATGTCTGATGAGTACAAATAACAACTTGAACAGGAATTGTGGTGGAGTGTTGATAAGTGAAGAAACACAAACAAAAAAACAATTAAAAATCATAATTTCTATTTTTTAACTAGAAATTTGCATTAAAAAAGATTGTTTTTCATCTTTAATCAATTATAAATGTGTCAAAAAGCATGAAAAAGTCTCAAAATTTAGCCCTTAAATTTATTCCGTTAGATGTCGCCCATCAAAATTTATACAACTTAAGTGGAACCTCTACTGTATGTATAATTTGCTTCTCCATGCCAATGCCCTTTTCTTTGTTATGTCTGATGAGTACAAATAACAACTTGAACAGGAATTGTGGTGGAGTGTTGATAAGTGAAGAAACACAAACAAAAAAACAATTAAAAATCATAATTTCTATTCTTTAACTAGAATTAGATGGGAAGTTCAAATTTAACATCGACTGATGCAGATCGAGCAAGACCGACAATGGCTGAAAGTTTGACTGCAATTTTTGCTGCCTCATCAAGATCATCGCAAGCCAATATTCTTAAAGATGAAGCTGCAATTAGAGCTTTAGCATCGTCAACTCGAGTTCCTTGGAGTCGAACTACAATTGGAATCTTAAGGGCTAAAGTTTTCGCAGCCATGATAATACCCTCAGCAATAATGTCACACCTCATAATACCGCCAAAAATGTTTACAAGAATAGCTTGGACTTTGGAGTCTGATGAAATTAGTCTGAAAGCTTCAGTGACTTGTTCAGCTGTTGCACCACCGCCAACATCAAGGAAATTTGCGGGATTACCTCCGTGAAGTTTAATAATATCCATAGTTGCCATTGCTAGACCAGCTCCATTAACAAGACAGCCAATGTCTCCATCTAAAGCAATGTAATTTAAATTGTAATTGGAGGCAACCTGCTCTTTAGGATCAACTTGAGACCAATCGCGAAGTTCGTGTAGCTCTTTGTGTCGGTAAGATGCATTATCATCGAATCGACATTTAGCATCCAAACAGTAAACATTACCAGACGAGTCTTCAATTAGAGGATTGATCTCGATCATTGAGGCATCATATTTCGTAAAAACATTGTATAACTTTTCCATAATTTCTATAGCCTGTGCTGATGTGTCCGGATGAAATCCCAATTTTGAGGCAACTTTTTCCAATTGTTCTCGTTTTATTCCTTGAACAATATCAATTGGCTCTGTGACAATTGCATCTGGATTATCTCGAGCAACGTCTTCAATGTTCATGCCACCTTGAGAAGAAGCCAAAATAACAGGTCCCTGAAAAGAACAAAAAGTACCAATGGTTAGAAATCAGATAAAAAATCAGACAAAAACATCTAGATTAAGCTTAGAATTTTAAAAAATAAAATAAACAAAGCTCAGGTGAACCGTGCAAGAACCAGATTCAACTTCAAAGAAACTTCAGTCAACCGAATTCAAACTTGACCTGACGTCATCAAGTTTTGTATTATATTTCTTGTATTTCTTTAAAGAACAGAGTTTATCAATAGCAGGATCAATTGTTGATTACTTGAAATTTTCTATTTACTTAGATGAAAAAGCTTAGAGGAGCTGAATATTAACAATTGAGGTTCACTACCAGACAAAATTAGCTAGAGCTAACAAGATTGGAAACAGTGAATGAAGATATTCAAGTTGACGTTGAGCAATTTGACGAGGCAACACGAGAACTTGTCAATATTATCATTGACGTCCTGGTCGGTAAAAAGCATCTTGTCATAATTTTGAGGCTTTCTTATCTAAAGCCACTCAGACACGGTTCACCTTGACAATTGTCATGAGCACAATCTTGGTCAAAAAACCTTTGATTCATACTCCATAAGATCTTTCCAACATGATTGCGAAATAGTATTCTCTTCTAGGGTACAATCTTTCCGAGATCATCACTTTATTACATGGTACTCCTTTTTCACCGGTTTGTTTAGTAATCAAATTGAATCCAATCATCTTTGAGGCAATGTCTTTCACTTCATCAGGAGAGTAGACTATTTTAACACCACCTTTCAGTCCAGTGTCAAAAGATCCTTTCCCTCGACCACCGGCCAAAACTTGAGCTTTCACGACATAATCAGTAATACCTTGTAGCTCAGAGGAAGCTACTCTAGACGCCTCATCAGGGTTGGAGGCGACACCAAAACGAGGAACATTTACTCCATTGTCTCGTAATATGGATAAACCAACATATTCATGGACATTGAGGTTACGTTTGAAAATACAAGAAACCAATTCTCTAGGCCGACCACGGTTGAAAAGTTGATTGGTTAAACAGTTTCTAATTAACGAAGCCATGTTCAGGAGTAAATAAAACTAAAGGAATAACAAGGTTAAATGTAACTGAAATATAAAACAACTGTATACACAACCCACATCAACATCAAGAGCAGCTGATTTCAAGCCGCAAGAAGGCGCCACCAGAGTAGAAAGCAATGAATTGAATTGAATTTCAATATAAATTCATATTGAATTACAATTGAATTTGCCTTGAAAATTGCAAATAAGAATGAATTGGTTTAACCGTTAAATAAATACTGATGGCACTAACACGTCTGTGTCCCGTAAAGTATGACAAGATATGAGTTCGGATATAAGATTTGAGAGCATTAATGATCTAAGCGTCATTTTATACCGAATAACGTAAACTGGACGAGTTCCTGAATTAGTTGTTCTATGAGTTTGATGAAAATAGTTTAGATTATCACCGAGCATATGGGCAACATTGAATTCAAATAGAAATATAAGAAAATAATCATCATAACCTATTCAATAAAACTGCACTCATATTAAATTTCATTTTAAATTAATAGGATTCACCAAACAATAGTAATTTTATTAATGTAAGATCAAAAATCTCAGTGACATCACTCATTTTCTTCACTCCTGAGTCTTGAGTTGGGATTAGTTAATCTAATAGCCAATTGCTTGGATCGTTCAACGATGGCTTTCCTCTTCTTTGAAGATACTGAATGAGCGATTTCACCACAGAATTTACGGTTAACCATCATCAACATTTCAAGTTCCTATTGATAAAAAAGAAATTGAAGTCAAAATTAGCAAGTTGTTTCAAAAGGATTGAGGTAAGTTAGTGAAAGGGAATGAGTCAGGATTTCAATTCTCATCACTTAAATTAAGACGGGGAAAGAAAATGTTATCATCATGTCAAACTGGTAGTAGAATAACGATTAGTAAAATAAAATGAATCATTTGTACCAACCTTAACATTGTGAACTAAAACCTTACGGAATCCATTAGGAAGCATGTGTCTGGTGGCTTTGGCTGATCCGTAACCAATTTTGGGCATACGCATCTGACCCTTGAACTTCCTTCGAACTCGATTGTCAATACCTTTAGGCTTTCGCCAGTTCCTCTATAATACATAGATAATAAAAATTAAATTAATCATGTGAGCCGGGAACATGAAATTAGGCGAAACATAAGAAACATGGTGAAAACAACACTTACCTTAATTTTACCATATCGATCGCTCTGATGCCGCTTGAAGCGACTTGTCCTTTTTTTGACAATAGATCCTCTAAATAAAGATGTAACACCCATGGTTAATTAATTAACTTATTATTATAAATCTAACCAAAAATTAAAGTATTCAAGTTGAAATGAAAACCCAACTTGCTAACTCAACTTGAATTTTTCTCAAGTTTCCGGTAAAGATGCAGCTTCCGAAAAAGCGCCATCTAGCGTTTAAAAAGAATGCGCCAAATTGAAAAAAACATAAATAACTTACAATTGTTAATAAATTTTGCAAGTTAAATTAGAAATTAAAATATGATTAAAAAGCGGTGAATATTTCATTTGATCTTTTGAGTGTTTAATATTCAATATTTAATTAAATAAAACCGGATTGCATAAATGCTTATCGTAACTTAGTTTATAAAAATTTTATTGGACAAAAGTACAAACAACACATAATGAACATTTGAAATGATATGAAAAATTACAAATAAATCACACTATTAACATGACCAGCATTAAAATGTTACAATTGAATGAAATTACAAATGATAATTACACTTATAACAATGATTGAAAGCAAGCAATAACGAAAATAAATTAAAAAACAAACCAACAATGATACACATCATTTAAATATGGGAAGTCATTACTTTAAAGGAAAAATATTGTTCAGATTGAAATTAGATTAAAGTATCTTTCAATTGTTTTGTATTGGGTTCAATCACCCTTTGACCGGCTTAAATTTAAATTACTAAAATCTACATTAATAATGAACAAATATCTCAATTAATGAAGACTTTTGAAAAACCAAAAGTAGAGTCTCGCCAATACTTGATGTTAACGATAAAATAAATAAACTAACTGACAAATTGAATTAGAACAATTTGTGGTAAAATTTACACAATAGCAACACTAACAATCACATAAATCTTATAGAACGGTTAAATGAATCCCAGTTTTAAACAATTAATATTGATAAATATGGTTTTTATCATTATTCCTGTTAATGATTAATAATCCGATGAGTGTGATGATGTTCAAATTTGTTGGTTCTAGAAGGCAAAGCAATATATTGTGGTTCCTCATTAAAAGCATACAAAGTACTAGAGTCCAAAAAGGTTTCAGGTGATTGATGATGATACCAATTGTGTTGATGGATCCTGTGAACAATGAAATAAAGGGAAACAATAACGATCAACAATTAATAATGGCTGATAATATACAAAAAGGAGAAGTAAAAAAAGACAATAAATACATAGAGAGTACAAAAATAGCTCTACTTACACTGGAATAATTTGAGGTTGTTTGTTCTGACAACATGGTTTATTAGCTGGAACAAATACAGGGTAAGAAATAACTGCCATTAAAGCACAATTGATTAAAGACATCAAGATGATTGTAATTAATCCGATAAAATTCATTTTAATCATAAAATAGGAACACAAGAAATAAAAAAATACGGACAAGTTAACGACTTGAAGTTAACGGCAAACACAAGTATGGAAGAAAAAAAAGCTAAAAACAGCTGACCATAAAAGTTTTTACCAGAAGATTAAGCTTGTAACTGACTGGTTAACCAGAATTTACAATCACTTTTGATAACAATTTAAGACAAGAAGGAGGTAAATTATTTAACTAATTTAGAGTGAGAGTTAATTGTTTGTAGGTTAACGATAAACTTGCATTTTAAATAATACTTAGCCCTGTATAGAGTCGACAGAAAAGACAAAGTGTGTTAGCAACTGTTATCAATACTTACTGAAGAAACGGGCGACCGAGTAATTGTCAAATTAACCGTTTAATTATTTGATGATGATTATGATGGAGAAATGAAAAGTGTTGATCAATAGTATTGTTGTTATGTTAATTCACGATAATAAAGGGTGTTGCGTTTAATAAGGTGCAATTATCAGTTACCCAAATGAAGATAAGAAGATGACAAATC